AACAATCTCAATTGCGATGGAGTTTTGCGAAGGAGGAAGTCTGGACAGCATTTACAAGGAGGTCAAGAAATTGGGAGGGCGAACAGGAGAAAAAGTACTCGGCAAAATCGCCGAAGGCGTCTTGAATGGTTTGACGTACCTACATAGCAGAAAGATTATCCATCGAGGTAAGCTCGCTTCTTTCAGGTGATTCGTGCAATCGGCTGACCCATCAGACATCAAACCCTCCAACATTCTCCTATGTCGAAACGGCCAAGTGAAGCTCTGTGACTTTGGCGTCAGCGGCGAATTCGGGACCAAGGGAGACGCCAACACATTCATCGGCACATCTTACTACATGGCTCCTGAGCGAATCACCGGCCAATCCTATACCATTACGTCCGACGTTTGGTCGCTTGGTGTGACGTTGCTGGAGGTTGCCCAGCATCGTTTCCCGTTCCCTGCCGATGGCACTGAGATGCAGCCACGAGCCGGATTGATAGATCTCCTTACCTACATCGTTCGCCAACCCATTCCCAAGCTGAAAGATGAGCCCGAAAACCGTATTCGCTGGTCCGATAACTTCAAGTACTTTATTGAATGCTGGTATGTATCTCCTGCCATGAACAAATGGGCCAGCGTTAACTTGTCCTAGTCTCGAAAAGGAACCTCCACGAAGAGCTACACCATGGCGGATGCTGGAACATCCGTGGATGCTAGACATGAAAAATAAAAAGGTCAATATGGCCAACTTCGTCCGGCAGGTCTGGGGCTGGCAAGATTGATTCCCCCAGTCCTGGACTCTCTGCCGATTTCAGCATTCATTAGATCCGTTTCATTCCCTAATCACCACCCACCGACCGCAGCATTGACTTAATCTCATCCACAATAATGCCCTTGCATATATTACGGTCTCTCCTTCAACGCTTAACAAGTGGCTGGGCCTTCTTGATTGACCAGGATGTCAAAAAGCATACGAATCTTGCATTATGACGACATTCATTACCTGCTATTGCAACGTCATTCCTTTGGGTGAACAGCTGGAGTTGAATTATATTCTTCTTGGTTTCCAACTTTCCATTCCTATCTTCCGCAATGTTCCTTCAAATTTTGAGGAGAGTTCGAAGACATCTGCCGGCGGGCAGCAGTGCTGGCGCTTTTACATGGATGCCGAACGGGATAGCTGGGACTCGATCCTCTTTGTGAGTTTCAATGTCGGTTCAGCCTGATTCTTCTTGAGCAGCTGCATCTGTGTGTGCTTTTAGTATCTACCTTATGTTCTTGTTCCATGCCTGTCTTCCAACGAGAAAGTACATTGGCGCCGTCAAGTCAATAGTGAAAAATCTCATTCGTCTTCTACCGATGTGACAGTATACTGGTCAGATCAAATAGCTCATCGACATTTCCATTACCTTGATAGCGATGTAACAACAATGCCTCAGGCAGAATTTATATGGCGATCGCAATGTTGCAATGCCAGAAAATGCAACGGGAGTTTCGTAAATTTCCACTGGTTTCCAGGTAATATTCCGGAATTTCCTGCACTCTAGTAAGATGAAGTAAACGTGACTGGGAGCTGTGTAGTGTGTATTTCCTAACTTTTACGGATTTGACATTTTGATGGTTCGTTTGTGAGCCCGGGGGAATGGTCTTGAGATGACGGGACATGGATCATTCATTATTTCTAACTGCCAAAGGCAAAACTATGTATATGAGTAAGGTATTCTCCTACCGTGATAAATGCATAGGACAATCTCAAGTCTCAACGCTAACCGGGCCAGACGCGGGACCAAACGCCATGTCATCATGGGCAAACATCACAAGCTCAGCCGAGAGCTGAAGCGAACGCGAAAACGAAAGAAGACGGTTTATTTACGATCGGTTGACAGGCTGCGCACCGAGAACCCAGCCGATCCCGCTTGCCAGCCCGCCAGTCACCATGTTACTGACCACGTCTCTCTTGCGGACTCGGCCCTCCTGCGACTGCGGGCTTGATTCCTCGTGGGATTCGCGCGCTCGCGACGACGGTGTCATTTCGTCTGGCGAGGCGGCTGCCGAGGCAGCGCTGCGTAGGGGGAAAGCGTTCTTCTGCAGGGCGAGGGCGGCGCCCCGGGCGACTTCGAAGAGGCCCATGGGTGCGTCTTCGAGGTGGGAACGGTGCCGTTGGGCGCGGACGCGTCGAGCGTGTTGCTGCTTGGTGTCAAAGGCGTCCTGTTCCGTGTCTGTTGGGCCGAAGCCGCCGGGAAGGGTCGTGAGGCTGTCGCCCTTGGCGTCCCATATCTCTTCTTCTGCGCTTTCCTGGGCGCGGAGGACGTTCATCTCCTCGTCGCAGCGACGCCATGCGCCGAGAATCTCTGGGAGTGGGTCAGGATATGGAACGAGAGTGAGCGCCAGGGAGAGGAGCTCCATGCGCTGCGAAAGCTGGGTGATTTGGGCTTGCAGGGACGGCTCAGGGGTAGAAACGGGGGCGCGGTAGCGGCCGGCGTTGTACACAGCGCGCCAGGAGATGTCGTCTTTGACGTTCGGATTTGTGAGCGGCGAAGCGGTAGGTAAAAGTGAAGGGGGTGTGAGACGAGTGAGGATGTAAGAGTATGCGGTGCCAAAGTCGTTTGAGGAAAGGGCGGATGAAATGGCCAGAGACATGACGCGCCGCTCAGCTGTAACCACCGCATCTTCCCGCGATGTAGGAGTGGCCCCGAAATGTGATTCGTGGTCTTCGGAAGAACCGGTGGGCAGCCCGGCCTCGACCAGATTCCGTCCAATGGAAAGTAGATCGTCGAGTTTTGTGTAGCTCTTGGGATTCTGATCGAGCACCTTTTCAATCAAGGAGAGAGGATCGGGGTGGACTCGGATGCTGACCGGCTGAAAGGGGACGCCATGCTGCAGGGTTAGAGAGTAGAATGACAGAGCGTGAGTTGCTGCTATGAGCGCCTGGATTTGTTTCAAGGTTACGGAAGTTGGGAAATGTGGTTGGAATGCTTGTAGACTGGTACCCGCAACAGAGCCTGTCAGTTGAGTATCTGGATAGGACTCGCACGAAACTCACATCTCATAAGCCCTCTTCATTCCCCCTCGCGTCCTATTGCCGTTGCTGGCGTTGTCATAGGCTGCAAAGATAGCGTCTTGAACCGCTTCTTCGACCTGGTCCGGCTCCAGAGGAGGCGGGTCAGACCTGGTGTAAATATCCACGGCCAGGTGATATTCTAGAGTCAATCAGCACATGTCAAGTGAGAAATTGGCAGTCTTCGAGGCTTACCTTTGGCTTCCAACAAGGCTCTCAACACCTCTGTTTCAACAGTATGCCGGGAGACCTTCCAAAACAGTCCGTGACAGGAAGGACGATCCACGTTCTGTTCGGGCTGTTTCGCCTGCCAGTCGCGAAGCCACAGCAGCTGTTCACGAACCTTCTTCCAATCACGACCAGGAGTGGCCTGCTTGGCAATCGAGCTGACCGTACTGCGAAGCTCTGCAAGTTGCATATCCTCGGTGCTGTGCAGGCACAGGTTTGCAGCTTGCCTGCAGGGTATTGAAACGCCCAATTCATGGAGCACTTGCAAAGAGAGAAGTAGTGCGCTCAAGAATGAGACCGAAGAAGCAGACGGTTGAGTCAACGGGTTTGAACTCAGCAACAAGGCGTTTTGTAACAAACTGACTCTTGATGTGGACGGAATCTCACCCGCATCGAACATCACCGAAGGAAGCGCGGAATCCTTGCATACAACAAACAGAGAGTCTTGAAGGTTGAGTAACTGAGCCACCCTTGTTACAATCTGCATTGAGTCCTCCAGAGAGGAACTGCTCGTATCAGGGTTTGCGTATACAACGGCAAAGCCTGACTGGCCATATCGAGTCCGCATTTCCGCCAATTCGTCCTGTGTCGGTTGTTGATTCTCCTCTCCGTAGCCTCCAAGGTCCACGTCCTCAGGCCCATCCCAGTGAACAAAGGCGTTGACTGCAGTATCATGCTCCACCAAGCTATGCGACAGCAACCATTCATTTACCTGTTGCCATATAGCACCAGTTGTCGTCTTCGGGCGGTGGCTGTCCTGAGGGAGGGATATCGCACTCTGACTTGCGTTCTCATTGAGCCTGCGTCGTTTCGTGCGATTGCTGCCATAGATCCACGCACCCACCAGCCCACGGAGGTTCCTCGCGATGTCCATCTTGTCGTTTCTCGGACTCGTCATAGAGAGCAGAACGTTGATCGCGGTGGCATCGTCCATCGACTCTAATGTATTCAAGGAGAAGGTCTCATCTTGACTCGGGTAGTACTCATAGTTCAGTCGGAGGAGCGGTAGAATGCTAGAAATCAACCATGTGCGCACAGTGGACGAGCATTGGTAGAATGGCAGAAGAAGGTCAAGGATGAGTGGCTGAAGACCGGTCTCGGAATCTATGCGATGCGACCGATGGATAAGGAACTGAGTCAAGAGGTCGGAAGGCTCGCTATCCTCGTCATCAGGGTGTCTCAGCGGCAGAAGACGAAGCTTCCTAACGCGTTTTCTCGCAATAGTCTCGGGAAGGTCCTTGACAGCAGAAAAATCGACGTCACCTGCAGAAGGCTCGATCGAAGAACCAGACACTAGTTCTTGAAGCACAGATGTATAGGCCTGCGGTTCTATGCTCTCTGGAAGAAAGGTCAAGATGATTCGCAAGAGACGCTCCAAGGGTAAATAGCTGGGGAATTGGGTGTGGAGGAGTGGCAGATGAACGACATTGCCAGTGGCACAAAGCTGCGTTGTTAGAAGAATCGCATGAGCACGAGATATCGCTGTAGAAATCGCCATCGCGAGTCAGACTCCATGAAATATCGTCTCATGTCACAATCTTGTCGATAACTCTCAAGCCTCCCAAATCGAAAACGTAGACGTCAACGGGGACAACAGGCGGGGCGCTCGGACCACCTGGCGGAAACAGGCGAATCGACGCTTGACTAAGGCACAGTCGCATCCTCACCTCCGCCGCTCCAATCCGCAGTCCTCTGCAGTCCAAGTCCTACTCTTACGCCCCCCAGCGACACAATGGCCTCTGGTTTCGGTCTCAATGGCGGTATGTTTTACTCTTCCTGTGACTTTTGCGTTCCAGGGTCGCCTCAATTGTTGATACTCGGCTGTCACCGTCACTCGACTTCATCCATGCGGACTCCCCGGCTAATACTCCCGTGATTGTCCAGGTCCCTCACGCTGCTACGGTTTTTGGCAGGAGGTTCTAGGATGCTACGTTGTCAATGCTGGAGAGGGTGAAGCCGGCAAGAAGAAGTGCATGCCCGCTCTGGAGGATTACTATGAATGCCTGCACCACCGGAAAGAGGTACGCCCTTTGCTCTGGGACTTCTTCTGTTCGATTTGCGATGGACGGCTCGTTCTGGGATATTCGAATACTGGTGTGATGGTCTGACCGGCGTATAGGCTCTCCGAACGATGAAGATGCAGGCCGCCTACCGCAAGGCCGAGGCCGCACACCCCCGTGAGAATGCGCCTAAGGCAGAACAGATTCGCAGTTTGGGCCTGTTAGGGAAGGAAGAAGAAGCCTCTGCGTTGCTGGCCAAATCATAAGGGGGGAATTGTACGCATATCAAAGGGGTGCGGTTACGCGTTTGTTGTCTTTATACTACCATCAGTCATGCTGTCGCTTTACTCAATGGAGTTTCCAACTGTACAGGAACAAAGCTTCCAGCTTCCATATCAACCACTTACGAATAATGAGCTTAGTGCATTCTCGATCGGATGTCTACGCTTAAGAACTTCACTCGTGTCTAAAGTCGAGCTCGAGTGTCATGGAGGTTCGTCTGTGGAATAGAAGATCGATGGGGAGGTAGATCCCGGTCAAATGCTCAGTGAAATGGCTGGCTTATATAAATATCTCTGGCACCGTAGAGGTGAAAATCATACAGTCACTGATCACGATGGAAGATGTCCGTTCTGCGTAGAATACACTATGCGACCGAATTGAAGTCAAGTAACTCTGATCAGGGAGAATTGAATCAACAGCCACACCTGGATCAATTAGTGAATGAGAAAGCTAGACCGTCTGGCGGTATCTCTAAAGTAGCGAGAGTGACTAATACGCAATCGAGATAGTTGGCATTGAGAAACGTCCCAAAGGTCAAAAACATACTGAAACGCTGCAGGTACGGAATAGCTAAGGTCGTACTGTCAAGCAGTCTCTAATTGATAGCTGACTTGTCAAACTGAGGTATCCTTCAAGTGATCAACGCAAGGTCAAGTATGCACATGAGGAGATCTGGCATTTCTTGGCGTGTTGGTGGGAGATTAAACAAGCTATGAGGCGATATATAATTACACAAGTTTGAACTATATTTTGATGAACGTGTTTCTGCAGAAAACTTTGCTTGAGGGAGAGTCTGTAAATATGAGAGCCAATCTCTTCTTTTCAATCGACGATATAACTTCGAGATCCTTCCTATACCGTAACTACCAACTGGAACCTCGGTACCCTGACCATATCACCAGAGGGATCTGGATGTCCATGATCCAAACAGACCATCATGACTCTCTGTGGTGTCTCATTTGCAGGAAATTTCACGGCCGTCGATCCAGGTGAGGGATGATCACGTGATATTAAGAAAACCTTTACGGTAGTGGAGACAGCTAAGCCTTTATGGGACTAGCGCGTCTGGTACAAACATGGGCGGGCGCGCCCAGCCAAAGATGCCCCCAATGATATAAACAGCCTGCGTGACCTCGAGAGGAGAAAAAAAGGTCGATGATCCAAGACGGACAGAAACAGAAACAGGACAGGACAGGTTACCTAAGGAGCCACCCGACTGATACCGATTCCATCTATACCTACGGAACAGCCACACTTGCAGGCAAGCAAGCAGTACAACATCACTGTCCTGTAACCTCTGTTTGTTTTTTTATTATTTCTGTTTCTTTTCTCCTATTCGCCTTCATTCATTCATACTTCATATCTGAGTAGTATTATACTCTGTTCCTCAATTTCTCCATTCACTTCTCCGTCGATGGCTGTGGCGTGGGTGTAACGACCTCGTGTATTTTACCATACCTCCCTTGATCTCCGTTACCTGCCTACTTCCTCACTTTGGCGTCTCGGGAGGTATTCTCTTCGTCATCTTCTTTTCTTCTTGATTGTTTTCTTATGGAAATTCTTTTATACCCTGCGCGCATAATCCTTCGCGATTACAGTTCGCTCTTCCTGATTTAATCTCTTATCATATTTTGCCCTTACATCCAAGTTGACGAACCACCATGACTTCCAGGTAAGTGATCGTGTCCGTCATAATCCGGGCGTTTCCGTACCGTATACAAATGGACGCTAACCGTTTACGTTTAGACTTGATCGTCTTGTCACGTGAGTTTACTCTCAGTGAGCCTCTTCTTGCCAGAACTGACCAATTACGTTTGCAGATTACTAGAGACTGGCAGTACGCCTCTCATCAGAAACACTGCCGCCCAGCAACTGGCAGATGTGCAAAAGCAGCATCCAGACGAATTATTTAATCTACTCGGACGTATTCTACCGTATCTTCGATCCAAATCATGGGACACAAGAACCGCTGCAGCCAAGGCAATCGGTCTCATTGTCGCCAATGCAGACACGTTTGATCCTAACCGGGATGACGGCCAGGAGATCAAGAAGGCCGAGGATGATGATCTCGATGTTGACATCAAATCAGAAGAGGAGCTGTTGTTCCCGACGGACGATTCGCTGCTCCAACTGGAACGTCTCGATCTCTCCTCTATCCTGAAATATGGAAAGAGACTACTCGGCAGTGCAGGCAAGGAATATGAGTATTCTCTCGCCGCTATGGATCCTGCTTCCCGACTGCAGCACCAAAAGAAGACCTTGACCTCCCGCTTGGGTCTCGCAGGGGAGTACATCGAAGAGGACCTAATCAATGACAACGACCTGGTTTCGAAACCGGTTGTGAAGGAAGAGCCATCCTTCGTTGCACCGCGCGAGCACAGCATTCAAGGCACTTTCCAGCCTCTGGCGTCGCCGATCGAACCCGCGAATGGAGAGGAGTCCGGCTTAAGCAAACGGCAGCTCAATCAGCTGAAGCGAAAGAACAAGCAAAGTGCCAGAATGGGGGCCAATAAAGTGCGTGTGGTTGACCTGTCCTCGCGGAGAGCGTCGGAGAACGTGACAACACCTTCAGTTGCCACACCTTATCCCATCAAACCAGAAAATGGAGACGAGCCCAACGGCGATTCCAAGCCAGATTATTTCTCGTTAGAGCGACCCGCCGGCGATGATGATTCGAAGATTGTCTCGGAATTTAAAGGAGCGCCGGTTGCGGAAAATCCATTACTCCAGCCAGAGCCCACAGAAGAAGGCCCCAATCCGAACTGGCCTTTCGAGCTCATGTGCGACATCCTCATGGTCGATCTCTTCGACCCCAACTGGGAGATCCGTCATGGTGCTGCGATGGCTTTACGTGAGGTCATCCGCGTCCAGGGTGCCGGTGCTGGTCGTGTGCAGGGGAAGAGCAGGGCTGAGAATGATATATTAAATCGCAAGTGGTTGGACGACCTTGCGTGCCGTCTCCTGTGTGTGCTCATGCTCGATCGCTTTGGTGACTACATCTCAGATAACGTCGTAGCTCCCATCCGAGAGACCGTCGGTCAGACGCTAGGTGCACTCCTTTCTCAACTCCCATCACGGTCGGTCATTTCTGTCTACAAGTGTCTCTATAGAATCATTATGCAGACTGATCTCGGCCTGGAACGACCCATCTGGGAAGTCTGCCACGGTGGCATGATCGGCCTCAGGTATCTAGTAGCAGTTCGAAAGGATCTGCTCGTCAAGGATTCCAAGCTCATGGATGGCGTGCTCGAGGCTGTCATGAAGGGCTTAGGGGATTACGATGACGACGTCCGTGCCGTGAGCGCGGCAACGCTCGTCCCCATTGCAGAAGAATTTGTCAAAACCCGTCAAAGTACTCTGGGCACCCTGATGACCATCGTTTGGGATTGCCTTTCGAACTTGCAGGATGATCTCAGTGCCAGTACAGGTTCTGTCATGGACCTTTTGGCGAAACTGTGTACATTCCGAGAGGTCCTCGACGCGATGAAGGCCAATGCAGCGGTCAATCCGGAATCGTCGTTTGGTAAACTCGTTCCTCGCCTCTACCCGTTTCTGCGACATACAATCACTAGCGTCCGTTCCGCGGTTCTTCGAGCCCTTATGACATTCTTGCAACTCGAGGGCGAAGGCACCGATGAGTGGGTTGACGGAAAGACAGTGCGTTTGATCTTCCAGAATCTGCTAGTGGAGCGGAACGAGGGCGTTTTGAAGCAGTCTCTTCAGGTTTGGTCAGAGCTGCTAAAATCTCTGGAGACTCGCGGTTCCTTCAAGCCAGAAAGCGATCTCCTTAGTCACATTAGACCCCTTATCACTCTAAGTATGGGTCCTTTCGGTGTTCCGCGATATCCGATTCCCATGGACGCTTCTTTGTTTATCAAACCGTCGGGTCTGCCTTTTCCGTCAAGCGCTGCGGCTCCTGCCAGGTCATCTCCCTCTAGTAACACGCCTGAGGGAACAAAAGGTCGTCGGCGTAAGTCCGAGAAGAAAGAAGCGCCACCACCTTCCGCCCACAATGTCGACGGGCACATGCTCCAAGGCGACATTGACCTTGTGGGTGCGGATACCATGCTGAGGTCGAAGATGTACGCCGCAAGAGCTCTCGGCCAGTTCCTATTTTTCTGGGACAAGAACCAACTCCCGAGTTTATGGCAATCTATCTTGGAAGGACTCAACCATTCGGCCTCGACGTCCCAGCTCTCTTCGGCCATGATAGTGGAGGAGTATGCCAAGCTCTCTGGACCTAGTGGCAGGTATACCTCTACCTTATGTGAGCAACTGCGCCCAATCATCGAAGGAGAGCGTCCTTTGTGGTATGGTGACATTGCTTGCTACCTTCAAGTCGCCCGCGCACAGTGTCACTCCCTTTTGAACACATTCCGCGACCACGCACATGTTCCTGGCTCAAGATTGCCCGTCCTCGCCGTCATCGTTCAGGGTGATGCCGAGGCTGGACCTAATGCGTTCTCGCTGTCTGACGCCGAGAAGGTCATTGGCCCAGACTTTGAGCGACTCAAGAAGAGCCTTACTCCGGCTCAGCGCATTACCGCTCTCCAGGTCCTCAACGATACTCGCGCAACGGCTGAGAACGCCATCAACGAGGCCAGGAATGTCAGAGAGCAAAGGGACTTGCGTGTTCGGGCTGCCGCTGCAGGCGCACTGGTTGCTTTAGGCGACATTCCGAAGAAACCAAGCCATATTATCAAGGGAATGATGGATAGCATAAAGAAAGAGGAGAACGCGGAACTGCAGCAGCGCTCTGCCACTGCTATTGCCGCCCTCGTTGAGTACTACACCACTTCCACGAAGCGAGGACCCGTCGACAAAGTTATCGGTAATCTTGTCAAGTACTGCTGCGTGGATACTTCCGAGACCCCCGAGTTTCACCACAATGCGACTCTCGAGAAGTCTATACTGTCGCTCCGTAAAGAAGAGGACAGGCGCGATCATCCAGATGCCGCCAAGTTCGAGCAAGAGGCCAAGGAGG